TTAGTATCCAGAATCCTGAGAACAGATTGAGGGTTTAGGGATATTTCACAAGTAACGGAGAATCGAATGGAAAAGAACATGGAACTGAAATGGAAATTGGGGCTTGTATAGAGGTAGTAGAAGTTCTCTCTACAGAAGTTAACAGGGAAAAAGAATGGAAAGGAAATGGAAATAATTCTCTCATAGGGGAATATGTAGTATTAGGGCTACTAAAAGGATCCATTCCCGAATTCCTTGCTAGCCAGGCGTAAGTTGGGGTTACAGGTTTCAGGCCTTTACACTTGCCCATGGGTGTTCTGTAATCCCCTTTAAGTAGACAGGATCTTCCCTATATGACCTAGAGTCTAAATTCTTTAGGGGGGTTATACAGGGGATGATGTAGGGGAGTATCATAGGAGTTGTTAAGGGGGCTGCTACGAGTTTAGATTATAGCTGATAGCTCATATGTTCTGTTTGGGGAACGTGTATCAGCGGGTCGGGGGCTCTATTTGGAAGGGAGGCAACGTGTAGTGGCTTTTTAAACCCTGTATCCTGTTTTTCGGGGATCCCAAACCATTAGAGAAGCATCACTGACACTGATGGTAAAAAGAACCATATCAACGAGACTAATGATATTGGCAATAAGCATACTTCGCAAGAACGATATTGATAGTTATTCTGTGGCCACCTAGGTGGGTGCTCCAGACTCCGGGAGCATGGTTGAAGGTAAATGGTTTCATCCAAACGGTTTGGGACTGCGAACTTTTAGGGTTTAGGGATGAATGTCCAGCGTTTCTATGGTCTATCGCAGAGTCCCAGAGACGACAGCCAGGGGAGGAATGACCCACAACAAAGGCGTTTTCTCGTTGTTTGGGTTCTTGTTGAGGCCTGATTCCCTAAACCCCAAACCCCAAACCGTAAACCCTAAATCCCAAACCCCAAACCCTAAACCCTTTGCTTTTCTTGATTCTCCTCGCGGAGCCAGAGGTGCGGATGGTGGTAGAGGATCAAGGGCGTATCGTTTGAGATTCGGTTGGATTATAAATGGGGGTCATATTGGGATAATGGAAAAGAAAATGGAAACTACTGTTTAGGGTTTAGGGTTTTGGGTTTGGGCTTATAGTCCCCCTTAAGTAGATAGAATAGGGCTTTGGGTATATTATGATACCCCATATTCTATCTACTTAAGGGGGACTATGTGACGATAGATTGTCAGAAAGATAGCTGGTTCACTAAAGCATCCATGCCCAAATCACAAGAAAGACCACTTACAACTGCATCCAGTTCACTTATTAGAGCATCTATGCCCAGACCACAACGCCGCCCAGTTCCTGCTAAATGGTCGTTTGCGACGTAGGCAAGAGCCCAAGTGATAACCGGGCAATATCCTAAAGTCCCTTCTTGTATCACCATATAGCAAACCTCAAACCCTAGGCCCTAAACCCTAAACCTTGTGTTTCGGAATACATGCCTACCAAGGTGGAATGTGTAGGTTAAAGCAGAAGCAGTCTCATCCTAGACGGCTTAGGATTCGACTTGATTGCTATTCCTTGAAGCCTAAACACTTAATTACCCGAAGACCCTAAGGATCAGTGTCTCACTCAAGGAATTGCTTTCCACAGCTCTCATAAGCAAAAGCCTCGGTCTTAGAAGCTAGAATTGCCTAAGTCTGCATCCTAAACAGTAAGCCAAACAACTAACTCGGAAAAAAAACTCAAGATATGTCCAGGCTGTAACCTGTACCCCCTTTTAGTAGCTATGATAGACTGGACAAGGAGACGTCGAGCAGCAGATTGAGGCTGCTGAATGGTCGAGGCTTGTGTACCACCATGGCCCCTACATGATTTCTGTTCGGGCTGTGGGGAGCCCTGAGTCCTCGAGCGAAGGTGGGGTTTGGCAAAGGGTTTTTTGGGGGGATAAGAGTTCAGTAGGGTGGGCTTTCCAAAAGTCAGAGCACACTTTTTTGAAGGAGTCCCTATAGTAAGGATTGTAGCAGGTTGGGGTCTTCATGTGGGTGTCCTTCACCTATTCATGGAAACTGCCAGATACTCTTTGGAGATCCTCCAAAACCCTCTTCACCGTATGTACCCTTATGCGTTTCCCCGAGGAGGAAACAACCCCGAATGCGTAGTCGCCTTCAAGGGTACCGACTCTCTTCAAGAAGCTCAGAGGTCAAGTTAGCAGACTCTTGATGTTTTTGAGGTTACACTGGTAGACACCTTCCTAAATCTTGAACTGGCCCGAAGCCCTAAACCTTAACCTTTAGAGTACACAGATCCGAGCAGCTCAGGATGTGATGGTCGACGCAGTGGCCTGGAGCTGCTCTTGGTGTGAAGGTCAGTACACGTACTGATTATTAGGAATGGAAACATAGGGAATTCCTACATTCTGATATCATTGGGGATTGTATAGGGACTGTTATAGGGATCCATTCTTTCATTTCCTGATGACCAGAGGCCAGTACAAAGTGCATTCGGGGATGGCTCGCTACCTGGACCAGTTCACACATGAGCGCAACTTCACGATGCTGCGGACGTGCTCTAAGGCACGGGTTTGCTTACTGGCGGTTGGTAGGGAACAAGGGAATATAACCGCCACAATATAGTCCTTCATTCCCTACTACCCCCCGGTAAGTTTGAGGGTTCATTCTCATGAGAGGCCGCGTTGGTGATTGCAGCTTTGAATTTAGAAGCTGGGATTGGGGCGCTTGGGATTCATTGAATGTAGGGTTTAGGGTTTACCGGTTTAGGGTTAGGGTTCATTGAGGCTTCGCTCAGAGTGCAGGGTTTCGAGCTTAAGGTTCAGAACCCTAAACCCTAAATCCTATATAACTCTAAATGTAGTTTCCATGTTACTTTCCATATCCCCAAATAACCCTATATTGTAGATGCCCTTATATTGTAACCCAGTATAGTAGTTGCCATTGTATTTTCCAGTATCCCCAAATGACCCCTATATACCCCTACCATACCCTACCCCTATAGGGGTTGCGGCCAGGCAGACCCACCATGCTTCACGTCCTTTCAGGTTGGCGCAGTCAAGGATTTCTGAAATAGAGCCCTAAATAGTAGTCTCCGTTTTCTTTTCCATTATCCCTATATAACCCCAATCTATACCCTCTTATTGTAGTTTCCATTTTGTTTTCCACTATCCAATAAAGGCATTTGTGTGATCCTTGTTGGGGTAGGCAGAGCTCAGCACTTGCACTGGAGGCTCTGTCCACTCTCCAAGTGTGTATTTCTGCGTGGCGCTTTGCAACGCTTTTCTAATTTGCATGCACGTTAAGATGACTCTGGTTGGCATGTCCGCTCAAGCCCTCTGTGAAAAGTAGGTGCACTTTCCACATGGCTTTGGCTTAGCGGTTCGCAGGCGTAGGCGATCTCCCTCAAGCCAAGCTTCCAAACAGGTCATCGCCGTGGGGCACTCCTTGGGGGGAGCTATGGCCGAGCTTTTCGCGGTCTGCCCGCAAAGGTGGGGCTTGCAGAAGGCGGGCATTTCCCAACAGATAGCTTAAGGTTGTTGGTTCCAGGAAGTGTGTTGTGAGCCATTTGGATCCTTAGGGCGTGGGATACAGGACACGCAAAGCACCCAGACAACCCTTCCTCGGTTCCACTATGGGCTATTAGGCCCTAGAATTCCCTATTAGGACCCCAGTATACCCCATTAAGGGTAGATTAAGGTACCCTTAAGGTCCAATAGCCCATAGTGGTTCTGAAATTCCAGAGTGTAAACCTTCAGCCATCAGGTGGATTACTTGTACACGTTCGGCGCCCCGGCCGTTTCGACAACTCCTCTTCAAGACGACGGCGCATGCTTCCAGGGCGCCCGCATGTTCAACCTGGATACCGACTCCTATGACCCCTTCGCCGATTTGGGGACGTGGGCTGGATACGTGCACCCACGCATGCAGGCGATCCAGCTGTTGCCAATGGGAAGCAAGAAGACGGATATCTACCAGCAGGTGGACATCTATCAAAACTACTCCTGCACAATCCCTAATAGGAATCCTCATAAATCCTGCGTATATAATCCCTACATACCCTCCGGGTCCCCGTGGGCCCCCTGTTTCGAGAAACTTCCAGGTGAGCTACGATTGCTGGGACGAAAACACTCCATACTTGCCCGGAGCGAACTACGCATCCCTATCCGGTGCTTCGACCCTCCAATGTAGTACCGTTTTGAGGGCTCTAGTTAGGATCGTAACTAACAAAAAAAATTGCCAAACCCCAAAAAGGAATTCCATCAGAGGGTCCAGGGAATTACGCCCTAAACCGTATATGTCCTTATGTACCCCTATATATATCCCCATGTACCTAGGTGGTTTCTGGCGCCTGCTCAAGCGAATCACGCGGCTTGCGTTCAAAGATCCCGTGCCAATGGTGCAACCAACTCTTCAAGCTCACCTCATGAGTGGACTTAGGGTTTAGGGCTTAGGTTCAGGGTTTAGGGTTGAGGGTTTAGGGTTCAGGGTTTAGGGTTTAGGGTTTGGGGTTTAGGGTTTGGGGTTTAGGGTTTACAGTGGGGGGCTTGTCAACCAGAACCCTCCTTGTACCCTTAAAAGAGGGTATAAGGTCCCCCTAATAGTGGACATCTAGGGTATAAGTATAGGGCAGAAGGAGGGTCTAGGAAGAGACTTGTGTTTAGGGTTTAGGGTTTAGGTTTAGATTGAAAAAGGTTTTGGGGTCTAGGAAATAAAGGTTTGGGGTTTAGGGTCTGGGTTTAGGGGTCAATTTTGGGATCCCCTTTATCATACTTCCCCGAATGTTTAGAGCATCCCAAAAGAGGCCATCATTTTGGGAACCCCCAGGTGGATATTTGCATCGGCTCAACAACCTTTTCGCGTGAGAGGAGGGGAACTATTTCCCACGGCTGCCGGGGCAAAAAACGTCGCAGAACCCAAATTCCCAAGTAATCCCCCTCCCTTGAGAGTAGAATTACCGCCAACGCTGAGATTGCATCTTCTCACTGCAGGACATGGAACAGGATTAGCGTGTGTTTAAAACCCTCTTCGTCCAAGTCATTGCCCTGGAGCTCTACAGAGCTATGAAAACTGGTTGGCCTACCCGACTACAACTGAAAAAGCTCCACGCGGCTGTTTGGGCTTTTTGGATGGTCGTTAGTTCTAGGTTGACAGCCGACTTGCACATGTTTGGTGGCTATAGTGCCCCTTGAGAAGATAGAATATGGCTTCGGGTATGCTATAATAATCAGATCCCCATATACCCCAGATTCTATCTACTTAAGGGGGACTATAAATCCTAAACCCTAAGCCCTAAATAGTAGTTTCCATTTTATTTTCCATTATCCCAATATAACCCCCACATTCTATCTACGTAAGGGGACTATAAATCTAAGATTTAAGCTTGGGGGTTTAGGTCCCAGCGAGTAGAAGAAGGGTTGCCATGACCTTAGGGTTTAGGGTTTAAGGGCTTAGGGTTTAGAGTGTAAGGGTTGAGGGGTTAAGGGTTTAGAGTTTACGGGTCTAGGGTTTAAGGATTGAGGGGTTTAAGGTTTAGAGTTTACGGGTTCAGTGTTTGAGGGTTGAGGGGTTTACGGGTTTAGAGTCTTATGGTTTAGGGTTTGAGGGTTAATGGTTTGGGGGAGGATGCTTTGAGGCTCATTCTTCCCCAAGCTTTGGATCCTAGATTCTGACTTAAAAGTACCGCGCCCGTAAAGATTTAAAGATGGTGTCTCGTAACTCGTAGCTGTTCCCTACATTATGGATTCAACCATTGTATGCCAGAATAAGAATCCCCACATCTCCACTCAGCAAAAAGAATCCCTGTAACAAAAAGGGGGAGGGTGTTGGATTTTGGAATAGTAGGGGGAAGGAATTATGTCGCGAGCATGGGCCTGGTAACCTGCCCCTTCTCACAGTGACGGCCTGGATTGTTCAGATTCAGGGTATGTAGCATGTATGTTGAACATCTGTGGAAAAGAACCCCCAGGCCCAGCAATGGGTGACTCCTTCCTGTCATTAGAAAGCCTACTTGCAAACATGGGCAGACACGGCTCGATCAAGTGCATGAGGCTTGAATCTTCCAGGACTTCGGTGTAGTGTAGAAACCCAAACTTTCTCCCAGAATCATTCGGAATATTGCCCGCCTATAAGCCTCAGGTATTTGTTTCATAGTACACCCTACACCCCCTGACTGTCTAAGCCCCTAATTACTTCAGCCTGAACAGCTCCAGTACCGTATTTGTACCGCAGGCAAGGCCCAAACAGTATGAAAGATGCAGCAAGGCAACATGAAAACATGGAATTAGGATGGTCAATGCTGCTTTGCTCCTTTCCAGATCTTGGGTCAAGGTGATGCTCCTGTCCTCTCCAAGTTGACTTGCGAAAACGACCCAGCATCATCAGCCCAAATCCCTACATAGCCCTTGCGGATATACATATGCATGTATATTTGCACATGTTTTCAGGTGTGCAGGTATATGTTATTCCGAGTGCCCTATGTCGTGAGCGCACAAGAGATAGTAGTCTAAACCCCAAACCCGAAACCCTAAAACTCGAAAGCCTTAGATCCTAAAACCCTAAACCCTAATCCCTAAAACTTGAGGTTCATCCTCTACGAGCTCCTCATATTTAGATGGCAGGTCGACAGGCAGGGACCAGGGAGGGGGGTGTGGGAGGTTTAGGGATTTAGGTTCTGAGGATTTTGGGTCTTTGGGTGTAAGGTTTAGGGTTTCAGGGTTTAGGATTTAGGGTTTAGGGTTGGGATTTGGGCTTTAGGGTTAGGGGTTTGTCTAGGGTTTAGGATTTCGGGTTTGAGGCTTTGGCTTGAACTCGCGATTAGGGTTCAATGGGCTTTCTAAAATGAGGGATATTTTGGGACCAAGGGGGGGTTCATGTAAGGGTATGTAGGGCCTATGTAAAGGTCCCTACACGGAGGCTCCCCTCCTATAGCTACGTTCCCCAAACCCTAAGCCCTGCTTGGAGGCTCATGCGACTTAGTAAGCTGGGCCTATAACCCTACTTATGATTAGAGTAACTCCTAAAAGGCCATTTAGGGCAAATCTAGGGCGATTATAAGTAGGGGTATAGGCCCAGTTTTGAGTAGTTACTACCTGGACCCCAGAAGTAGGTAAAATAATAGCGCTAAGACGCTAAACATAGCTCAAAAGGCCATTATTCTACATACTTTTGGGGTTTACGTAAGGCCCATGAACCTACAAGTATGGGGGTGACCTGGGTGGCCTCGACTCGAGGTTGCCACCCCTGGGGTTATAGTCCCCCTTAAGTAGATAGAATATGGGGTAGATAGGGATCTTATTATGGTTGTGGTCAAAGCCATATTCTGTCTACTTAAGAGGGACTATAGCCGCTTATGGATGTTACTGTTTACCCAACAGTCCTTCTCTCCTGTCCCCTTGGAATTTTTCTTCATTCCTGTTGTAGTTTGTCCCCAGGAGAAGTTTTTCATTTTTATTGTAGTATACGCCCCAAAAAAAACTATCGATAATTGGTTAAAAAAAACGTCTCAGGTTGTCGTACGCAAAGCTTTTGATGGGCAATTGTTTGGCTGACCAGGCTGGTTAGGTCGGGAGCAGATTCTGCCGTACTGGTTTCAGGGGCAACAGCGCAAGAACAACCTGTTTGGTTTTTCAAGCTCGTGACATACTGGGAGTTGCTCGAGATGACGAGTGCTGTGTCAGGGTCTCCCATGAGCTACTGTCTAAACTCCTTAAAGGGGGGTAGAAAGGGGGAATGTTGTACGGGCTATGAAGGGGGATACTAGGAGTTTAGACTACAGCTCCTGGGTTGCTGTTAAGGAACTTAAATTAAGTTACCATAATGGGTATCTATAGTAAATAATAGGGTTTCCCCAATATAGTAACTTAATTTAAGTTCCTTAACAGCAACCCAGGCTCATATGGGTGACCGTAGACTGTAGAGAAGCAAGGTTCAAGCCCTCGGCGGATAGCAAGCTACATGCCAGCATAAGCTCTTCAGAAGTAGTTTTTGATCAGGTCATACGGAAGCCAATACCCTAAACGCCTAAACCCTAAACCCCTAAACCCCTAAATGCCTAAACCCTGAACCCCTAAATGCCTAAACCCGAAACCCCTCAACGCCTAACCCCTAAATCCACAGGACACCCTCGTTTTGAGAACCCGCCCCGAGGCTTCCAAGCTGGCCATCCAACAGCAGCTGCGTTTAGACAGTGCTGCGCTGTTTGAGAACTAATCGCTTCCCCCTAATAATAAACGACGTCCCCCCCCTCCCCCCCCCACCCTAATAATAAATATTCCGGGGGGTCAAAAATTATGTATTTATTGGGGGGGGAATATTTATTGAAAGGATTTGATAGGGCCGCCTTTAAATTCCTTTTAAAATCAATTAAAATCAAATATAAATGAATAACTAATTAATTAATTAGACGAATATTTAATTAATTGATGAATAACATGAAATAACTAAAATCAATTGAAATCGAATTAGAATTCCTTTTAAAATCAATTGAACTTCCTTTTAAAATCAATTGAAATCGAATTAACATTCCTTTTAAAATCAATTGAAATCGAATTAAAATTCCTTTTAAAATCAATTGAAATCGAATTCAAATTCTTTTCAAAATCAATTGAAATCCAATTAAAATTCCTTTTAAAATCAATTGAAATCGAATTGAATTTCCTTTTAA